GAGCTCACGTCAATAGATATAAGCAATTCACCAAAGTTTTATGCAAATTGGTTAAAGCATTTTTGAGTTAATGTCCGACATGTTGACGACGGACAGACGGACGGACAGACGGACAACGGTATACCATAATACGTCCCGTAAACGGGCGTATAAAAATTAAAGCGAGTCCATGCATTGTAAATTGTATCTTTAGACTTTACGTAATTTGGATATTCTTTTCAGTATGTTATTTATAAAATATGAAAGTTTTTATCCAACCGATAAACATAAATTTTACAGCTAATGTACCTTTAATCGGCTAATCGGTAAAATTGATGAAGTATTAAAATTTAAACAATTACTACAATTATTTTCCACTCAGGAAAAGTTTTGAGATTAATCGATAAAAAAATGCAATTTAATGTTATTTTATTGATCTAATCAAACCATAAACAACATTCTTAAAAATAAAGCATGTATTTAAGTTATCCTTAATTGTCAAACACCTATTGAAATTGTGAAATAGTCTCTCACAAACATTGACAAATGAAGAAACTTTTGAATAGTAGTTTATTAACTCTAAATTCAAAATTACAAATTATACATATTAAACTATACTTTAAACAATATCAGTTTAATATCATCTTTTTTAGCCTGTCCAAGGCATTTTACAAGGATTCCAGGTACATGACTTGTCAGGGAAACTGTTCTGTAAAATAAATTGGAAACAAATAAATGCATATTTTTTTGGTATGGCTTGCTTAGGATTTAAACAGGTATATGTTTTGTCTTTGAAACTAAAAAATAAAATTTCTTAACAACTGGCCTTTAGTTTCAATTAGTCATTTCAAAATTTAAAGGAGCACCTAAATGAAAATAACATCAAGTCAATGGTTGAATTTTCATTGTTATAGACTGTTTTAACTAATTACAACGATTTGGTGTACGCTTTAAGAAATATGACCTACACGGCATTAGATTTCGCAACGTCGAATTGTTGTTATTTATATATGAGCTGAGGTTCATGTTCTGTTGATGAATTTAATATGGGTATCTATTGAACAAGTTTGTATTCCTCTTTATACAATTTTCTTGGTGAATATAGTTACCTTATGTTAAGTACTCGTTAATCTACATGAAACATGCAAACAAAGAGAACAAATCTAAAGGAATCACATAACTCCTAACGAAGATAGACTGGGTTAGACAACGGCGAAAGCGTCTCTCATAGCACGACAACGCACACATTATTTTTGTTTTTGTCCCTAAAAAAGTTTATGTTTGAAATCTGTTTCAAATGAATACAAATCGGTCACAAAGGTATCGGTTGGAATACAGGCTGTGTGTTAGGTTCACAATGCTCTTCAACTTCGCTTTTATTTGGTCTTTTTGTCTCTTTTGATTCGAGCGTGACTGACAAGTCTTTTGTAGACGAAACGTGCATCTGGTGTATACAATTTTAATCTTGATATCAATGATGAGTGTATTGAGCAATATCAATTCACAAAGTCGACACATGTGCTTTTGATGAGAAAATCATGAGTTTGAAATTGCAGTCTTCGATATTTTGTCGCTGAGATCAGTGTTGTTAATGCGTAACTTTATAAAAAAGAAGAACAATGCTGTATCATACCAACAATACATTGTGTGCTAAGCATTTTACTTAAAACATTTAACATGTGCATTTTTTCTTTCCTTGACTAAATAGATTGATTGATTAATTGATTGATTGATTGATTGTTGTTGGTTATTAAACGTCATGTGGCTAATATTTCGTGCATGTTCAGGACAAAAACAAATTTACAACACATACAATAAAAGAAGCCGTCCGGGAGAAAAAGGTCCGGAAAAATTGGACTGCCACTGGAAAATGAGGGTAAAATGCAAAAGGCCACCTACGGACCTCTCAAACAATTGTTGTAAGGGTTCTTAACGTGCAGAGAGCGTGACACTCTCTTTACACGAGGCAATAGGATTTAGCGTTCCTATTCTGGCCGATCGTGTCTGCGTACTTGTACATCCCGCAAAGCCAAAACGGACGTCAACTTTAGAAAGGGTTTACTGCCGGTCGGAAAGTAAGCAGGAGTGACAATAGTTCTATTCCCAAGTCACCCTTCGGGCTAAACTGATTATTGTTTGGTATATGTAGGCAATGTTCTGGTTTGTTTTTTGGATAATATGAAGTATATTATTAAGAAAATCACAGTACATCAAGATTCTGAAAAGAATGTGGCATTATTTTGTGTATTTCATTTTCTTTTTATCATGATAACTATACTACATTGTACTATCCATAACATTGGTTTTAAGTTCTCACGTGTTTTACATAATTCTAACAAACAGCAAAGTAGATCATTAGTGGTTTCCATTTTACAATGCTCTCATACATCTTTTCCAAGAATAAAATTGAGAATGGAAATGGGGAATGTGTCACAGAGACAAGACCCGACCAAAGAGCAGAAAACAGCCCAAGGCCAACAATGAGTTCAACACAGTGAGAAAACCTGCACCTAGAGGTGTACTTCAGCTCCAGCAAGAAGTTTTTTTTTCCATACCTAAATTATAATTAATGAACTCATAAACTTACTAAGACAGCCATATCTTCATCCGCTATAGCCCAATCAAACACTTTCATGTTTTCATCTATTCGATTTGTTTTTCCAGATTTTGGTATGGTAATAAATCCATGTTGTATACTCCATTTAAAAAGGATTTGTGCTGCTGATTTCTTGTACCTATGAAAAATGAAATCATTTTATCCTTTTTTTTCTTTTTTCGTAAAAAGAGAGAGGCGGAAGATACCAAAGAGACATTCAAACTCATAATTCGAAAATAAACTTTCAATGACATGGCAAAAAACGAACGAAAGACAAACAACAGTATAAAACAGAAAACAGAAAAGAAAAGCAACTATTCTCTCTATGGCTAAACAAATCACAGTGTTAAATTTGTTATGAACAAACGACGTGTACAACTTGTAGATGAGGAACTGCTGAACCGTTTACGATAAAGTTGAGAATGGAACCCGATGAAAGAGCAGACAACAGCCGAAGGCCACAAATGGGTCTTCAACACAGCGAGAAAATCCCGCACCCGAAGGTAAGCTTCAGCTGGCCCCTAAACAAAATATGTTCTAGTTCAGTGAAATGGACGTCACACTAAACTCCAAAACATATAAATGAACTAAAATTTAAAAAAAACATACAAGACTAACAAAGGTCAGAGGCTCCTGACTTGGGACAGGCGCAAAATGCGGCGGGGTTAATAATGTTTTGTGAGATCTCAGCCCTCCCCTATACCACTAGCCAATGTAGAATAAACAAACACACAGCAATACGCACAGTAAAACTCAGTGCTCCATTTTGTGTAGATGCGATTCCCTTATTTTCATTTTTCTTGACTGGTATTCTATATGGAGTCTCAGTTTGAAATTTGGAACATCCATGAACTGCTATCAGTTTTTACTTACCTTCTTGAGTAGAGCCTTACTTTTTGTTTCTTTCAATCACAGTGCTCTCTGTTTTTCATTGAAATACCTTTCACATCGCGTAAACATTTTTCACTGACAAATATGCTGAGCTAAAGGTTGCATGACAGCATTATCCGATTAAGTTTAATCTTATTTTCTCTAAGAACATCCTAATCATATCAAGCACGGATGTGTATTTTGTGGCACCCTAACTACTTGCAAAGCGAATTTAAATTTCAATCTTCTTCAAGTTCTTAAAAAATTATAAATTTACTGGTTGTCATTGACAATCAACCTCTTAGAAGATCCATATATTATAGCTGTGGCAATTCAAATTAAAAACTTTGGACAGTTTGGACAATTAATTGTGAAGTGGCATGCTAAAAACATCTTTAAACCACGTTTTATGTTTGCTCTTGGCCGAATGATGTTTAATGTGAATAAATTACAATATAAGAACAAATCATACATACCTGTTAGCAATTTTCACCAGAGTAGGATCATCAAATCTTTGTCCTTTAACCAGAGGAGAATATCCCATTACTGTAATTCCCTTATCTCGACAGTATTTCACTATTTCCGGTTTCTGTTGCCATGGATGCAGTTCAATCTGGTTCACTGATGGTGTTGGAAGCCCAGCTGATTCTAGACCCTCCAAATGTTGAACCCCAAAGTTAGAAACACCTACTGATCTGTAAATGTAAAAGATAAACAGGAATAAAAAAGAAGTGTACAAATTTGTCTACATTGTTTTCAATTTCATTAATTTTTCACTCAATGGAGAATAGAAAAGTAGAACAAACTTTAGTTCCTGCTTATACAAAATAAGCTGTACATTGTGAAGAGTATGAGATATGAGAATGAACAAAAATTCTTATGTACCTTAAGATTTGCGTTTTCATTTTTTTTTCTAGATTTGCATTGAGAGCGAACAAAGTTTGTTCTGCCTTTGCTTCAAATATTAATTCTATAATTGGAAACTTGCAAGTCATTAATGCAATAATTGAATATAACATTGTCTCGTGAATAGTGGGATGCTATGTACGTTGACAAAGTTAGTATTTGATGTTCTGTATGGGTACATGTATTGAAAGTTTATGGTGTGAAATATCTGCTATTTTTTATAGCGATATAATATAGGTTGAAATATTTTCCCTCTTGTGTATTAATTTACCAAAAATTCAAATACGTTTGAAAATCAATAACCACAAAAATTAATAGTTTCACGTCTACACCCATGCCACGTTTAGGTATATTTCTCCTGTATAGAATCCTTGCATTAATTATTTTAATGATCCTGTAGTGACCTTTTGTAAGACAACTTTCTTCACTAGTTCGACGCATCTTCGTTCTCTAATAGCAGTCGAAATTTCTACCCTTGGTCATGGTCGACCCTCTTTGCTGAACCTGCCTATTTAACTTGAAAAAATTGCCTGAGAAAAGTATAAAAAAAATCGGGTTGACCATATGATTTTCCTATTGCTGTCTCGTTTTGAACACCTATTGAAATTGTGAAATAGTCTCTCACAAACATTGACAAATGAAGAAACTTTTGAATAGTAGTTTATTAACTCTAAATTCAAAATTACAAATTATACATATTAAACTATACTTTAAACAATATCAGTTTAATAACATCTTTTTTAGCCTGTCCAAGGCATTTTACAAGGATTCCAGGTACATGACTTGTCAGGGAAACTGTTCTGTAAAATAAATTGGAAACAAATAAATGCATATTTTTTTGGTATGGCTTGCTTAGGATTTAAACAGGTATATGTTTTGTCTTTGAAACTAAAAAATAAAATTTCTTAACAACTGGCCTTTAGTTTCAATTAGTCATTTTAAAATTTAAAGGAGCACCTAAATGAAAATAACATAAAGTCAATGGTTGAATTTTCATTGTTACAGACTGTTTTAACTAATTACAACGATTTGGTGTACGCTTTAAGAAATATGACCTACACGGCATTATATTTCGCAACGTCGAATTGTTGTTATTTATATATGAGCTGAGGTTCATGTTCTGTTGATGAATTTAATATGGGTATCTATTGAACAAGTTTGTATTCCTCTTTATACAATTTTCTTGGTGAATATAGCTACCTTATGTTAAGTACTCGTTAATCTACATGAAACATGCAAACAAAGAGAACAAATCTAAAGGAATCACATAACTCCTAACGAAGATAGACTGGGTTAGACAACGGCGAAAGCGTCTCTCATAGCACGACAATGCACACATTATTTTTGTTTTTGTCCCTAAAAAAGTTTATGTTTGAAATCTGTTTCAAATGAATACAAATCGGTCACAAAGGTATCGGTTGGAATACAGGCTGTGTGTTGGGTTCACAATGCTCTTCAACTTCGTTTTTATTTGGTCTTTTTGTCTCTTTTGATTCGAGCGTGACTGACAAGTCTTTTGTAGACGAAACGTGCATCTGGTGTATACAATTTTAATCTTGATATCAATGATGAGTGTATTGAGCAATATCAATTCACAAAGTCGACACATGTGCTTTTGATGAGAAAATCATGAGTTTGAAATTGCAGTCTTCGATATTTTGTCGCTGAGATCAGTTTTGTTAATGCGTAACTTTATAAAAAAGAAGAACAATGCTGTATCATACCAACAATACATTGTGTGCTAAGCATTTTACTTAAAACATTTAACATGTGCATTTTTTCTTTCCTTGACTAAATAGATTGATTGATTAATTGATTGATTGATTGATTGTTGTTGGTTATTAAACGTCATGTGGCTAATATTTCATGCATGTTCAGGACAAAAACAAATTTACAACACATACAATAAAAGAAGCCGTCCGGGAGAAAAAGGTCAGGAAAAATTGGACTGCCACTGGAAAATGAGGGTAAAATGCAAAAGGCCACCTACGGACCTCTCAAACAATTGTTGTAAGGGTTCTTAACGTGCAGAGAGCGTGACACTCTCTTTACACGAGGCAATAGGATTTAGCGTTCCTATTCTGGCCGATCGTGTCTGCGTACTTATACATCCCGCAAAGCCAAAACGGACGTCAACTTTAGAAAGGGTTTACTGCCGGTCGGAAAGTAAGCAGGAGTGACAATAGTTCTATTCCCAAGTCACCCTTCGGGCTAAACTGATTATTGTTTGGTATATGTAGGCAATGTTCTGGTTTGTTTTTTGGATAATATGAAGTATATTATTAAGAAAATCACAGTACATCAAGATTCTGAAAAGAATGTGGCATTATTTTGTGTATTTCATTTTCTTTTTATCATGATAACTATACTACATTGTACTATCCATAACATTGGTTTTAAGTTCTCACGTGTTTTACATAATTCTAACAAACAGCAAAGTAGATCATTAGTAGTTTCCATTTTACAATGCTCTCATACATCTTTTCCAAGAATAAAATTGAGAATGGAAATGGGGAATGTGTCACAGAGACAAGACCCGACCAAAGAGCAGAAAACAGCCCAAGGCCAACAATGAGTTCAACACAGTGAGAAAACCTGCAGCCAGAGGTGTACTTCAGCTCCAGCAAGAAGTTTTTTTTTCCATACCTAAATTATAATTAATGAACTCATAAACTTACTAAGACAGCCATATCTTCATCCGCTATAGCCCAATCAAACACTTTCATGTTTTCATCTATTCGATTTGTTTTTCCAGATTTTGGTATGGTAATAAATCCATGTTGTATACTCCATCTAATAAGGATTTGTGCTGCTGATTTCTTGTACCTATGAAAAATGAAATCATTTTATCCTTTTTTTTCTTTTTTCGTAAAAAGAGAGAGGCGGAAGATACCAAAGGGACATTCAAACTCATAATTCGAAAATAAACTTTCAATGACATGGCAAAAAACGAACGAAAGACAAACAACAGTATAAAACAGAAAACAGAAAAGAAAAGCAACTATTCTCTCTATGGCTAAACAAATCACAGTGTTAAATTTGTTATGAGCAAACGACGTGTACAACTTGTAGATGAGGAACTGCTGAACCGTTTACGATAAAGTTGAGAATGGAACCCGATGAAAGAGCAGACAACAGCCGAAGGCCACCAATGGGTCTTCAACACAGCGAGAAAATCCCGCACCCGAAGGTAAGCTTCAGCTGGCCCCTAAACAAAATATGTTCTAGTTCAGTGAAATGGACGTCACACTAAACTCCAAAACATATAAATGAACTAAAATTAAAAAAAAAACATACAAGACTAACAAAGGCCAGAGGCTCCTGACTTGGGACAGGCGCAAAATGCGGCGGGGTTAATAATGTTTTGTGAGATCTCAGCCCTCCCCTATACCACTAGCCAATGTAGAATAAACAAACACACAGCAATACGCACAGTAAAACTCAGTGCTCAATTTTGTGTAGATGCGATTGCCTTATTTTCATTTTTCTTGACTGGTATTCTATATGGAGTCTCAGTTTGAAATTTGGAACATCCGTGAACTGCTATCAGTTTTTACTTACCTTCTTGAGTAGAGCCTTACTTTTTGTTTCTTTCAATCACAGTGCTCTCTGTTTTTCATTGAAATACCTTTCACATCGCGTAAACATTTTTCACTGACAAATATGCTGAGCTAAAGGTTGCATGACAGCATTATCCGATTAAGTTTAATCTTATTTTCTCTAAGAACATCCTAATCATATCAAGCACGGATGTGTATTTTGTGGCACCCTAACTACTTGCAAAGCGAATTTAAATTCCAATCTTCTTCAAGTTCTTAAAAAATTATAAATTTACTGGTTGTCATTGACAATCAACCTCTTAGAAGATCCATATATTATAGCTGTGGCAATTCAAATTAAAAACTTTGGACAGTTTGGACAATTAATTGTGAAGTGGCATGCTAAAAACATCTTTAAACCACGTTTTATGTTTGCTCTTGGCCGAATGATGTTTAATGTGAATAAATTACAATATAAGAACAAATCATACATACCTGTTAGCAATTTTCACCAGAGTAGGATCATCAAATCTTTGTCCTTTAACCAGAGGAGAATATCCCATTACTGTAATTCCCTTATCTCGACAGTATTTCACTATTTCCGGTTTCTGTTGCCATGGATGCAGTTCAATCTGGTTCACTGATGGTGTTGGAAGCCCAGCTGATTCTAGACCCTCCAAATGTTGAACCCCAAAGTTAGAAACACCTACTGATCTGTAAATGTAAAAGATAAACAGGAATAAAAAAGAAGTGTACAAATTTGTCTACATTGTTTTCAATTTCATTAATTTTTCACTCAATGGAGAATAGAAAAGTAGAACAAACTTTAGTTCCTGCTTATACAAAATAAGCTGTACATTGTGAAGAGTATGAGATATGAGAATGAACAAAAATTCTTATGTACCTTAAGATTTGCGTTTTCATTTTTTTTTTCCAGATTTGCATTGAGAGCGAACAAAGTTTGTTCTGCCTTTGCTTCAAATATTAATTCTATAATTGGAAACTTGCAAGTCATTAATGCAATAATTGAATATAACATTGTCTCGTGAATAGTGGGATGCTATGTACGTTGACAAAGTTCGTATTTGATGTTCTGTATGGGTACATGTATTGAAAGTTTATGGTGTGAAATATCTGCTATTTTTTATAGCAATATAATATAGGTTGAAATAATTTCCCTCTTGTGTATTAATTTACCAAAAATTCAAATACGTTTGAAAATCAATAACCACAAAAATTAATAGTTTCACGTCTACACCCATGCCACGTTTAGGTATATTTCTCCTGTATAGAATCCTTGCATTAATTATTTTAATGATCCTGTAGTGACGTTTTGTAAGACAACTTTCTTCACTAGTTCGACGCATCTTCGTTCTCTAATAGCAGTCGAAATTTCTACCCTTGGTCATGGTCGACCCTCTTTGCTGAACCTGCCTATTTAACTTGAAAAAATTGCCTGAGAAAAGTATAAAAAAAAATCGGGTTGACCATATGATTTTCCTATTGCTGTCTCGTTTTCCATCTATTCAAATTTAATAACTTCCTTATCACTGCCTCATGTTTAATAACTAAATTCAAAAATGAATAAGCGATATTGTTTAAAATGAATTCTGTGTCACGAGTTGATATAATAATTCATGATATTCGTTACCTGACAAGGCCTTTCTGTTTTAACTCCAACATGGCTTTGTATGTTTCCACTACTTGACCACTACTTGGTGAATGTATCAGATACAGATCTACGTACTGTAAATCAAGCCTATAAAATAAATGCATGAGACAGGCCCAGGTTAAGGGACATGGTTGACAAAATCCAAAATCAGTTTTCCTAAGTATGTTCTAAACTTTTCAGTCGCAGAGGTTACAATTCTGTTTCACGTGAACTCTTAAAAAGCATTGATACAACAGGTGATTACTAACCCATTGCTCTTGTAAATTGTGTACTTTCTGAACAATAGGTACCTCTTTATAATAAAAGAGCGGAAAACCGATTACTTGCATGCATTTTCAATGACCACTTCTCTGCACAAAATTATCAGAGCGAAACAAAATTCGAACATAATCTGTAACTAGTCATAATTAAACTATACACCAAATATCAAATACATATCTTCAAGCACTAAGACAAAAATGTGGAAATTTGATTTGCCGGACTGACGGACGGACAGTAGGAAAGACCGAAGACCAGAAAAACGGACATTATCTAAACTCTTTTTCGAAGTTCTACCCAGTTAAGCTTAGAACAAGAGGCTGTCAGCTTGACAGCAAACCGGATTTTCCTGCAGAGGTCGAACCCTGAACAGTTGAGCAAGTATGGATACAACATTTAAGCTTAAAACAGCTCTGAATTTGGATTGTGATTGAATATTTAAAATAGATTATTATCTAATTGATAATGAAAATGATATTTGCAAATCTGAACCCCTAAACAGGATCAAGTAAAAATTAAACATTAACACACACAACAAAACTAAAATACCACATAATAACTGTGAAATCTACCATCATAACACACATGACTTAAAAAATAGTTATAAAGAAATTTTTGACAACTGATGACTAAAATTAATTGAACAGAGACAATCATTAATAGACTAAAATCCATATATACTTAATCATTTCTGTTCAAAGGGAAATAACTCAAACTTATTTCCATGAACCAGTGATATAAACAGAAAAATAGTTCTCTAAGATTAGATATGATTTAACCACTAAAAAAAAGTTCTCTAAAAATAAATATGATGTTATATCTATTTTCAAATTATAATCAAAAATCTAAATACCACTTAGATTCAGCATAGTTCTTTTTTTTTTTAAATTTTGGACCGTTAGGGACCTAAATGTGGACCAATTTGAAGACAGACCTCAAAATTAAAAAAAATCTTACAAGAGACCAAAATGACAAAGAATTTAATTATTAATTTCTGTTCAAAGGGAAATAACTCAAATTCATATAATAAAAAAAAATTGCTACTGAAAGGTCTAAAACTCAACAACGAGAACAGCTTAAATCGTGAAAATTAAAATTGACCTTTATTTAGTCACATGAAACAACATATCTAAATTTGAAAAGATTTCGTCAATGGGTTTCCATGTTAATGAACGGACACTGTTTGGCAGCTGCCCGCCCGTCCGCCTGAACGTAAGTCCGCCCGCCGTACATCTCCAAATCAATAACCGATTTTTCTTTCAAAAATCCGGGTAAAAATGAAAGAAGATGTGGTTTGTTGCCAATGAGACAACTATACAACAGAGTAAAAACGAAGCGGACTTGTGAACTTATAGGTAATTGAACGGTCCTCAACATTAAGCAAACTCCATATGGTATTGACAGCTATAAAAGGCTCCGACATCACAAAATTTGAAAAGTTTGAAACGAAAAAAACACAACCTGCTTTTTGACAAAATAATAAATGTAAAACAAAAACCGATAACCACTGAATTACAGGCTCCTAACTTTGGAAAGGTGCAAATGGAAAATTGAGGGCTTATTACAAAAAATAAAGAGATGTGGTACGATTGCCAATGAGACAACTACAATGTATCCACCAGAGTTAAACATGTGTGTGAGCGCTCAATACTCCCCCTAGCCTGGAACATCGGTGTAACAGCACAATATATGAAACTGTTAAAATTAGTTTGCAATGACAAGTATGCAATTTGCATATAAAATGCATTTTGATTTTTTTTCAAGACATTCGCATGCTTCTAGTGTCTAATGTTATACAATGTTCTACCTTTTTAGACATTTTCATAAGAAGACATTTCAATATTAAATCATCGTTGAAGTTCATAAATGTTTTGCAACATGCTTGCATGAAGCTCATTTCAAAAGTTTAAGGTATAAGTGAGATTGGTGGCAAATTTAAAAGGCTTAATAGTATATGTATATTTCAGTGTGGTAGTATGTATACTATTATCAAGTGTAAAAGAAGAATTGCTCTTACAAATTAGACTGATATATGCAAAGTTACTAATCCATGTAATCTACGAATAATGTTTGTACATGAACATTAGGAAAAAATCCACATAATTAAAGGTTTCTGTAAATTCTAGGAATCGATACATACGAAAACTTACTTAGGAGTTTGTTTTGCTTTGTGGAAAGTATGAATACACAGTCAACTACGGCCTGGTGGTGATAGTAGGCGCATTAAACAAGATGCACGTAATGAAATTTCCATGTGCAAGGGTCTTTACAAAACCATTTGCTCACTGATTTTTTTTTCTTTTTGGAATTTTAACGGTATGTCTAGTTGGATTAAGTATGTTACCACCATGATGCATTCTTATAGTAGAACTTGAACTGACAATAATATAATTTGAAACGTAGAAGCGCGATAAAGCCTTCTACAACCCAACTTTTCGGGAACTATTAATATATTACAGTCATAGTCATATACTGGTGCTAATTCTTAAGAAAAAAAGTAAATATGGCCATTTTATGTAATCTTTTCTGCTAGTTGTGTGCAAAACATTGCTCTGGACGAGTTAGAACTAGACATGTTTGCCGGAAATGTATTGTATAGAAACATGTGAGATGTGTATTGTTGAAGACTACAGGTTGGCACAATATGACTGTTTAGCATGTTTTCTAAGGTTACTGTTCAATTGACGTACATCCCACATCTCGTTTTGTTCATACTTGCAAATTTTGAAACTCGATATGAATGATCATCGGTATATAAGTACAATGTATAATAGATTTGTGTTTCTCCCACTTGAACAATGTTGGCTTCAAAAAATATAGGAACAAAGTACTTCGTAAAGTAATGCATATCTTACATTTTTAAGCTTCGGTTGAATATTTTCTTACACCGACTGAATCCATTATCCCACAACTTGGTGACAACGAATATATCTTCTCGATTTAATCCGGATTTCTTTACACCCATTCCGACATCGGCTTCATTCCTAAAATAAAATAAATCCAAATAAACGTAGAGGTCAATCTTTATGCTGCGTACTGTACATGTGATTCTGTAAAACAAATGAGAGTCTTGATGGGGTGGTCTCTCGTTTACTTTTTATTTTTTTATGACCCTTTTATATCTATTCTTTGTTTATTTCGTCCATTATTCTCCATTCTTTATATTTTAGCACCCCATTATTCTCTAATCTCTATTCTTTTTTTCCCTTTTCTCTTTTCTTTATTTTTTGTCCTTGCACTTTTGTTCCATTATTTTCTATTCTGTAAACCCCATCCAGACCCTCACACATCACATAGGAAGTTGTTTTTGAATGATAGTGACTGTTAGTGATATATGGGGACATAAATTTCTGTATATTCGGTAATCATGATATTTTATAATATCAATCCTTATCAAAAGCAATACATCAATTCCGAGATAGTGCGTTTTACGCCCTCTCTTTTTTCGGTCCATGTATCCACCCTTTGTAAACCCGAAGCTTGCAAGATATTCAATACAATTAATGGATTGCTGTATTATGAATATCTACCTATATGCATACCATTAAAAATAATTTGTGAAAATTCTATAAAAAAAATTATTAAAACAAATTTACCAGTATATACTATCTTTATTTGCTGTCCGTGATCTTATTGGAAAACACACACATTTTAATTTCTGAGCTTGAAAAATAACAGCCTGTTTCCGACTTTTAAATAAGAAAATCAATAAGTAGGTTTGATTGTAGTTTACAAAATGTGTACATCTTTTCAAGCCCATATAAAACAGCATAACCCCCTACCCTTGAATGTAAATGGTTGTTCCCTTAACTGAAATAATTGAATTCGATTTCGATCCGAATTGGAAAAAAGCCCCGAGTTTGCCCAATTCATCTATTAGCCATACCAAATATCATTACATTTAAATTCTACATTTTGCATTTCAGATTGTATATCCCTCAAGCTTTTATTATTCTATCCTGTATACATTAACTTAATGATCAGGAAGATAAGACTGTACATAATTTGATTGATTGGTGTTTAACGCCACTTATAGCACTTTTGTGCTATTTCGTGACATTCAGTTTTTATTGGTGGAAGAAGCCGGAGTGTCTGCAGAGAACCACAAACCTTTGGTAAGAAAACTGACAATCCTTATCAATTTTAAAGATGGAGTTGACCGCATCTACTATGCGCGGGATTCGAACTCACAACCTCAAAGTTGACAGCCTAGTGATCGAAACAGTAGTTAAATCACTTAGAACACTCGGCCACCGAAGCCCCTCTGTTTAATTAAAGAATTTACAACATCTCTATCAAAATGTGTAATAGAATAATTTTGATCATAAATTCGAATGCAAGGTAAAATTCGAACATTTCACGCTATAATTATTTTTAATATGGAACCATCGCTTTTCTTCCGGAGAAAACTTTTTTTTTTTCTACTTAAATTTTGTTTCTTTTCTTTGGGTTTGTTTTCAAATAGAAACACACTATATTTTATCAGATTTTCCACCCTTAAAGTAATAATGAAACGATTTTTTTTTCTAGATGTTTATAAATGTTTTGTTTAAAGATCCCGCCACAAAAGATGAATGGGTGGTGCCAAATATCAAGGAAATTATCAATGAATAATGATTATATACCAACCCATAAAATTCTGCGGTATCTATTAGGTGATATCCTTTCGATAAGGCATACTCGACTGCTTTTTCTGCCACTCCTCCGCTCCCGGAAGATGCTTCATACATCCCAAGACCAAACATTGGCATACATACTCCATCGTTTAACGTCAATCTAGAGGTAATATCTGTTGCTATAGATACCATTCTTTTCGTCATAATATTATACTATCCTAAAATTCAACATAAAATGCAGCGGTTAGGTAGGTAGGCATTTTCCTTTTTTTTTCGGCAAAGAGTAATTGAAGTGTCAGATGTTTTTTTAGTCTTCGTGCCTATCTGATTAAAAAAAAAACTTTTCACATCATGACAATACAAGATTTTAATTTTTAGTAGGTAGGGTTAGTGCAAACAAACGTATTCTTTGTTATGGCCCAAGTGGTCTTAAATTGCAAAAAAAAAAAGGCTGCAACAAGTTACATTATCTCAGATCTTCAAAAGATAACTTATAATCAAGGCGACACAAACACAAAAAAAACAAAACAAAACAAACAACGTAAATTCACTTCAATCGGCAAAATACGGCAGATTCCACTACTTTAGTTTGTTCGCTCTGCAGAGGTGTGCCGAATGACTTAATAACTTTACCAGCAAATGACACAAAACAAAGAAACACACAACTTAATTTCGCCTCCATCGGTAAAACTCGGCTGATTCTAGCTAGATTTATAGATCTCCCAAGGTGTTTACTTGGGTTTCAATCAGTTATATACATATTATATTACATACACTATATACTCAAAGTTTGTACGAGCCTGCCCTGTAGTGATGTTCTAGATGATGGTAACTGATCGATTTTTTTTAAATTTTGGAATAATACGTTGTTTATAACTTTGTCCACACCATGCACCAATTCCAAGGACATTGAGATGTGAAACTATATTTAATCACAGATTCATGTAATTGTTATAACCAATTAATCAATATTTCTAGCTGTTACATATATCTATATATAAATGCCTGATAACACAACGATGTCATTAAATGTAATTGGTTATGCTGCATTTAACCAGCTTTTCAGTTACACAAAGTCAAGATACTGATACTGAAATCCCCCTTCCAAATCATTGCAACCTAGGGGGGGGGGGGGGGTAATTTCATATCATTGCGTATGCAGGGATGTGCCAAAAATACGGGTCATACTTTTGCGAGTGACCCTCCTATATTAAATTGCATTTACGTTTGATAACAGTATATTGATTTTGGGTATGATCTACATTTCATATATAAATATGCTATTGAGAATCTTACATTTTTAATGGTCAATTACTATATTAAATCAAATCAATTCAAAAACTTAAGGGTAGCTGTCTAACAAAATGTCTTATTAAGAATTATGAGTGATGATATAGATTTAGTGCTGATATAAGTATGCCGGGTCATATTTTAAATATTGTAGACAAGTATAGAAAAATAGGTACGTTTCTCGAGGCAAAAATGGCACACCCTACCAAAATAATATCGAAGTAACCCCCCCCCCCCCCCCCCCCCTTTTTCCGTGCATAAAAAATTTACCAAAATCAGACTACATGATCCTACATATATTTGGTCTATCGCCCTTAACGGTGTATCCAGTACTTAATATAACGTTCAGAGACAAATACCTCTGTATAAATGTTTGTCGATTTGAAGAAAAAAAAAACATTGCCACATAGCAGGACTTAAAAAAAAGTGTAAAATTTGGTTATGTAATTGCTCTGTTCTAGATTTTGACATTAGTAGTGGAACCTTTTAAATACTGGACACGTATAAAAACATTATACCGTGGAATTAGTTGTAACTTTTCATATCAACGGCGAATCTTCCAAAACAGAGTTTTCTAATGTCCTGAAAAAGCAAGCATTATTATTATTGTGTAGCGTGTTATCTCACCCTGTAGAATGACTCGGTTTGTTTACATTCTACTTTTACTTTCACTTTACAAAATTATTCCGCTTGGGTAAACCTAACTACCAAAATTGAATACCACCTAACATTAAACAAAACGGAACGTTTATAAATATTACAATTCGATTTATATAGTGTTTTAATAGCATGATAATTACAGTTAAATGAAATTGCAACCGGATCTTTCGTGTTTTTTTTGTTTTTTTTATTGCGTATTTGTATTTCTGATATTTATAGAACATTGTGTAATTGAAACATGTCATTCTAAAGGATATTGATGAGTTAACTTAAAAGTTTGTATTTTCAGTTCTTAAGAACGTAAGATTCTCAAAAAATACCTCTATCCCTCACACTGAATACAGGATCTAACCCTTGTCATTATCACTCTTGCAATGTTGTTTATTTGATATAAATTTTAGAGGGTTCGGATGGGGTTTACAGTATAGAAAATAACTTGATGTGCAAAACATAGAGAATAAAGGCCAAAAGATAATGGAGAATAGAGAATTATGGGGTTCTAAAATATAAAGAATACAGAACAATGTACAAAAAATAAAGAATAGTGAAAAATGACAAAAACAAATAAAGAATAAACAAAATGACCCCCCCCCCCCCCCTTTTTCCAGACTCCACTTTCTCCCATCCAGTCCCTCATCTAACATATATTAAAAAAAAATAGCCTTCAAGTTGGTGTCCGACTGAATTGTCCACGCGATCAATAATACCAGATTGAGAATCAGCATTATGAAAATAAATCGTTGGTATTTTCTGTTGTATCAACCACAGTAAACCGTTTATTGATTAATCGATTGATGGCTTTCTGACCTCAATCGGCAAGTACTTCATATTATATTTAGGATGATCTGGAAACTGTGGGATATATGCAAATGAGACAGCAACCAAGCGACAAACATAATCAAATAGTCAAGATTAAATTTCTATTTAACTTTTTAAAACTCGGTGTTTTTAGAGCTTTAACTATTTCATCTAAACACCTAGGGGTGACTTATGCACTTTACAACATATACATAATTGAATGGTAGTGACGTTGAATTGGAAATGGTAAAAATAAGTTTTTGTATTGGAGAATCAGAGATTTTCAAAATGGGAGAGGGGGCACAACACAAATACAATTCCAAAAAAAAAAAGAACCCCCCCCCCCCCTCCACCAGCACACACACACACTTTTGCAATAACGGTGACAAATTATCTCCTAACTGGATCCGCCCTAGTCGTGGATATAGTCATCTAGGTAGCATTTAGCTAGTTTTGTAAGATTCCGTTTTTAGACATGATTTTGTCCGTCTGCTTTCGACTTATGAGTTTTGATTCTCCTTTTGATGTCTTAATTTCGCCGCTTCTTTTCTTTAATGAGAATACTTTTTTTACAACAAGTAAAATTGTAATGAGAAAAATAATGGAAATCGTGAATGTGCCAAAGAGACAACAACCCGACCCCAGAGCATAAAACAGCCCAAGACCACCAATAGGTTTTCAACGCAGCGAGGAAATCCCACACCCGGAGGCCGGCTTCAGCTGGCCCCTTAAACAAAAAATGTGTACAAGTTCAGTGAACATTGACGTCACACTAAACTCAGAAACATTTAAATGAACTCAAACTACTACAAAACAAATTTGAGATTTTTTTTTAAAACCTTAATTGCTTTAACTATTACATGTATATGTTATAATTAGCGGCAATAAGTGAAATTACGCATTAAGCTTAAATCCTAGGCAACAGGCTAACGCCTAGGCAGTAAGTCTATTGCCTAAATGATGTTAGGCATTACACTTAAATCCTAGGATTTAAACTTAGATCCTGAAATGTATGTCCAGGCATTAATGCTAATGCCTAAAATCAAAATGAGAGTAAATAAAAGAAATTTATTCAAAGTTAAGATACATTTTGTATATAATTAAATAATAACTGAAGTTTAGATGTCGTTTACATGAAATATAATCATAAGTAAAATATTGATGTAAAATTCGTTTAATAAATCTCTTTAAATATATAAATGAAAGCTTGTTGGATAGTTGTCTCATTAGCAATCATACTGCATCTCCTTATTTTTTATATGGATAGAAAATTGTATTTAAAATTTATTTGTTACCAATTGGTGTAGAGTTATCATGGTTATGGCACAGACTATTTCACAGTTGGTGCAGAGTTATTATAGTTATGGCACAGACTATTTCACAGTTGGTGTAGAGTTATCATGGTTATGGCACAGACTATTTCACAGTCGGTGTAGAGTTATCATGGTTATGGCACAGACTATTTCACAGTTGGTGTAGAGTTATCATGGTTATGGCACAGACTATTTCACAGTTGGTGTAGAGTTATTATAGTTATGGCACAGACTATTTCACAGTTGGTGTAGAGTTATCATGGTTATGGCACAGACTATTTCACAGTTGGTGTAGAGTTATCATGGTTATGGCACAGACTATTTCACAGTTGGTGTAGAGTTATCATGGTTATGACACATACTATTTCACAGTTGGTGTAGAGTTATCATGGTTATGGCACAGACTATTTCACAGTTGGTGTAGAGTTATCATGGTTATGGCACAGACTATTTCACAGTTGGTGTAGAGTTATCATGGTTATGGCACATACTATTTCACAGTTGGTGTAGAGGTATCATGGTTATGGCACAGACTATTTCACAGTTGGTGTAGAGTTATCCTGGTTATGGCACAGACTATTTCACAGTTGGTGTAGAGTTATCATGGTTATGACACAGACTATTTCACAATTGGTGTAGAGTTATCATGGTTATTGCACAGACTATTTAACAGTTTTATCTTTTTCTAGCATTTGTACCTGGCAGGTGATCGTCCAAGTTCTTTGTAAAGAGCAGACGTCTTTTGTATATTGACGAATTTGATTCCAATTGAAAACTGTTAATTCTTTGTTTCTCATCCATGCAGTAAGCATGTCATGAATATTTCCGTTTGACCACTCAATACTACCCTGGTTGGAGATGTATTAATTGGCTTCCTGTGAACAATTATTATAACTAGTTCTGTCCACATTGGCATTAACTCAGATATAACCTTAGCTGTAAATTCAAGGCCTTTGTCACTTTGCTGTGTATGTAGCACACCAAATAATGTGAAAACATAAACTAAATTAGAGGCCACCTTTGAAGTATTTTTTTTTAACGTAAGAGCTCTAGCGATATATTTTTTATGTGATCTGGGTACACCATGAGAACCAAAGTTTCCATCTTACTCTGATTGGTAATCGATTAAATCAATCTGTCATCTTCTGTAAAACTCTTCGGATAAAACGTGTCTTACTACTACTTCTTTCCCTATGCACATTTTATCATTTTACAATTTCACAAAATGGAAGAAATAGTACAATGGAATCATGGAAAATATTTGAAAAGGTATTATAAGGTTGTTTAATTCTACGGTCTATAATAATAATTGGCCGCTTTTTATGTGTTTTTTTCCGAGAGAAAAAAACAATCCAGTTCCTCTAGAAAAACATTTTTTAATTTTGAATTTTCCCCCATCATTCTCTTTTCTTTAGCTACCAGTCTTTCAAAACTCCAATGGTAAAAAATGGCATACCATATTAAATTGTAATAGTCTATAGCTGCCTTATTTTCTCATTTTAAAAGTTAAATCTTTTCCAAATGATAATTGTACTTTTGCCTTGCGTATATGATCTTTGTTTTCGCTGATTACGATAGGGTATTTAAGAAAATTTACATATAATATATTAAAACTGACGGAAAGATGATATGACTGGCAAAATTTCATATCTTCAGTTGTCTCTTTTGACCAGCTCAAACCGACTTGACCATTGAAGAGCAATACCACAAAGAAATACGGGTAAGTTCTGTTTTGAATACGAAAAAATACTAAAATATTGAAGATCTTTAAAATCAGTTTATATTAATTTTTGCAATATGTATTTTTAAATATTATTCATCGAATGTACATGTATTTGTAAAGTAAACAAGAATTCGAAAGTTCACTTATTGCCTGAAATGATGTTTGGCAATAGGTTGAATAATCATCATCAGATTTCAGGAAATAAGCTCAAAGCCTGAAAATTTCAGGCAATATATTATAACTTAATGCCTAGGCGTTAGCTTATTGCCTAGGATTTAGGCTTAATGCCTAATTTCACTTATTGCCGCAAACATATATAAACATATTGATTTTGAAAAATCGAAATCTGACGTGCCTTAATTAATTGTCAGCAAGAGCCCACGTACCCATATGAATGTGAGGCTTTGGGGCGCATTACATTTGCGCGCATTTGAGGATTAACATAGTTTACGTTTGCGCGCAGCTTTCGATTACATTTGCGCGCATTCATTTTACAGGTAACACATGTCAAAATAAAGATATCTCGTAGTAAATATGTTAATAGTTGTTATGAATTTTAAAAAAAACATTTTTAATTTCAAATTATATATTTTTCAAATGACTTCTAAAAATATATAGTGATCATGATAAAATCCCGTAATAGCTTAAGACATACATGTAACTTAATTGGACTCATACTGTATATATTTCCAGGACTAAGGACATGGAATAAAAAGGACTTTTCCTGCTCGAAAATAATAGTTAACTAGATAAGTATAATCTACCTGTATTTACCTGTAAAACGAATGCGCGCAAATGTAATTAAAAGCTGCGCGCAAACGTAATGATTTCTGCGTGCAAAGGTAATGCGAGCAAAGATAATGTACCGAGGCTTTGAGACTGATACACACATTTCTTTCAAATAATCACTTATGAATCACTGCACCTTACAGTTGTAAAAAATCAGAAAAGCATCAGCTATACCGTATTACATGTACATTGTAACATCAAACTAACACTACTTCCGGATTATAATCCACGGAGATTTCCTTTCATTGATCATGCAGCGAGTGTACAATACTTATAGCAAACAAATCGAATCAATTTCAAAGACATTCCAATAATTTCTCTTTACTTTACATTTGATTCAGCTCTGGGATCAGATCGATCAGGGAAAACTTAATTTGTTTC